GTTTTATGGGTTCCCTGTAAATATGACTCATTCTTTTCATTGTAAAACACGACATTATTTTTTAGATTTATTGAAAGACAAATTTGCTTTCGAATTCTTGTTCTTCGTTGGACAAATCACGAACTTATTAAGATTCTTCTTGTCGCGTTCAAATCAATCGGGTAATATTCTCAAATATTCAATCAAAAGTATCAACATATTGTTTGTTATTTTGATTCGTTATTTTCGAATCAAATCCAAAACTTTGATTACATTGGCTTTTTGGGGTTCGACTTCAATCTAATCGTGAGTTTCATAGTTTTTCGTTACATGGGTTCACATATGTTGATATCAGAGCTTAGGCTCCAAAATCATGGTTATATCCTTTTTCCTTTTTTGTTTGAGTCTTTATTTCTTTTTTCTTACGTTTTTCATGCTCTTCTATTTAAGTCTCTTGATCCGTAATTTTTTCGTCAAAAATTCGAAAGTTATTTTTGTACTCATTTTGTGTCCAAATCAACTTCCGTTTTCTTTACCGGTGTCATAATTGAATTTCGAGTAAAACAAAATCCCGGATGAGCTTAGGCATGAGCTTTTTCTTCAAGGTGTCACTGCTCTTGATCACGCTTACTCTTTAGCTCAATATTATGAATTGTTATTAGAACTCCATGTGAAAAGCGTGGTGACAAATTCATCTATCTCTTTGGCACCACCTTATTTGTATGTCTCTCATAAGGCCCTCCATGTCTAATGTTTCTCCCGTTTGGGCAAATAAGGGTAAAGGTCCTGACATTCCAAGGTCTTCTCCTTCATATGAAAGGCGTATTGACAATTGTCATTCCTTCTCATCAGCGCCACTTTCTCCAGTTAAGTTCCTTCTAGGACCTCTCCCGTCTAATATTCCTCCCATTTGGAAAAATAAAGGTAAAGGTCTTGACATTTCAAGGACTTCTTCTCCGTCTAGAAGGCATATTAACTATCGTCCTTTTGTCTCATTGGCGCCATCCCCTCCTATTAAGTCCCTTGTAGGACCTCCCCCATGTAATGGCAATGCTCCTCCTATGTTGGAAAATAAAGGTAAAGCTCCTGAAATACTAAAGACTTCTTCACACTTGCAATGCTTCAACTGTAAGGGTTTTTGTCACATTTCTTACAAATGTCCTAGTCGAACCTTAGCTATTGAAGAATCAAAGAATGTAATAGATGAGCCATTAGAAAATGTAGTCTATAAATCTCAACTTGAAGAAGTTGATGACACCTGGATGATAGTGATGACACCTTTTTGGGTGGTATCCGAACTCTTCATGTGAATCTAAGTATTGTACCCCTCAAATACAAGGATTACACCTGGTGTGATGTCATTCCTATGGTATCGATCCCAACATTCTTGGTCGGCCTTGGTTGTACTATTTGGATGTAACATTCCATTTTCGATCCAATTCATGTTCTTTTTTGTTTAGGGGAAAGAAGATTCACTTTATCCCTTGCAGTGAGAGTTTAGATGTGTCTAAGGTTGCCAACTCGTACTTTAATGAGATTGTTAAGTTGTATGACCTTCCTAAGACCATTATCTCAAACATGGATGTTCGTTTTACTAGTCATTTTTGGGAAACCCAATGGTATATAGTTAGCACTAAACTGAAATTCTCCACTGCAGACCATCCTCAAACTGATGTTGGCCATTTATTAAAGTGTCTAGTCTAGGAAAATATTGGGAATTGGGATTTGATCCTCCCAACTGTTTAAATTGCATATAACAGTTCTGTGGATCAATCTATGTATGAGTTCGTTTAAAGTTATTCATGGTTATAAAGATAGGAAGCCTTTACCCCCAGATGCTAGTGTGTTTGTGTTAGCTGAGGTATTTGTGAAACATTTTCATGACTTGCATATTGAGATCAATAAACAACTTGAAGCAAATAATGCATCATATAAATTTCGAGCTGATTTGCATAATATTGGGAATTGTTATATTGCAAGCCCGTAGTGCTCTTATTTTTAAAATTTTAAAGCGTGTTGGTCTAAATGCACGTGTCATTAATCTTCCTTCACATTTTGGCTACTAACCTTTAGCTAAAGTAGCAATCTTGTCACCTACAATTTTTTGTCAAATTTTGTCTCCAACCTTTGAGAAATTGGCAAAGTTTAGTCCTTCATTGCTCATTCCCCTTCTATTTCCTCTATTTGACGCGAATTAGAGGAAAATTCAAAATTTTATATCTGATTCACAAGCCATGGAGGATTTCTCTAATTGGTGCTCACGTGAATAGTTTTTTTGTTTCCACAATTGGAGTAGTAGTGTTCGCATGTTGTGTAGTTGTGTCGGATACTAATGGGTGGTGGTAGAGAACTTGCAATGATGAGTTGATAGTGGCGGCGACAAGGTGATGATGAGCTTTGAAGGGGGAATTAGATCATATATAATCGGATTCTTGGTGTCAAAGCAATATCGTGTGTGTCTACCTAGTCGGAAAATATGACCGTAGGCTGTGATTCGACGTCTCAATAGTGGAGACGACGA